TTAACTAATGTAATATTGTTTCACTTCCATTTACTGAGCTTTTCCTGAAACCTTTTGGCCTACAGGTGTAAAGAATTTGAGTCATTATCTTTACACTGTAGTGAAGGGCAGTACATACAGGGGAAGTAGGTGCCATTTAATTTGTCTAATTTTTTTAGCATCAGAGGACTCAGGGTTTCTTAAAAATGGGAACAACATTAATTAATTCAAAGACAGCTATATTCAGTGTGACATTATAGTAAGTGGACAATTGTAGTTTGGAAAAGGTCACCAGCAGCATGAGAAGAAGGGATGAGGAGGTAGAGTCAAGAGGCCATGTAGCAGTTCTGCTGGCAGATGAGTTTCAGGACTTTTCAGGGCAAGTTGAGTAAGATTAGATGGTAGTGGAAGGATTATGGGTAGCACTACTAAGTAGCTGACAGAGCTGTGGGGTTTCTATGTTTCACTGTGTTGAGTTTCTTCTTCTTCGTTGGTGTAGGCTACTACAAACAATGGAGACTGAAACTGTTTGATGTTGGAGTTGGAGCTGTAGATCAGCAGTTACTTTTAGTAGTTTTTGAGTAAAACGCAAAAACAAGAGAAGGTGTTGGAAGAGACGGTATGTACTATGACCCTTGAACTGGCTGAGGCAGAAGAAGGACAAGTAGGAAATGCTTGGGAGGAAATGCAACACTACCAAGGCAACCAATCACAGTTCTTGTGGTCTTTGTCACAATGACATGTTATTACATTTTTGGGTGTGAGACTACAGCATGGTATGCAGCAACCCATCGGCTACAGTGTACCTACACCGTAGATTCAACACAGAAGTATAAATTGGCCTTACTCTCACTCAGTTTCAGACTCACCAAGGAGCAGGATACAACAAATGAGCAGATCTGCAATTTGGTAGAAGTCAAAGGGTGATGACAGGGTTGCTAGACACACAATTACATAAGTGAAAGGAGATGAAGGGAGAGAAAGGAGGAAATGTGGAAAAAAGCCACATATGTTATCATGTGGTGTTGGCAGGTCACAAGATGGATTAGGAAAAAAATGTCAAAGGATTCCAAGTGATGTTCTGATACATGAAACAGTGACAGAGGCCATAATTGGCACAGACTCAAGATCAGGTCAAGTCCAAAGCTCACATCAGGAGTACAGCTAGAAAGGAAAAGATCAAAGAGAGATTGAAATGAAATTATGGAAATAATCCTCTCTGTGGGAAGTTTGAAGTGACGTAGGAAAATGAGGATTGCACCATCTTCAGGCAATTCACTAAAGAGGCTGCCAAACGCACAGTCATGTCAGGTGGACCTGGGGGCTGATAAAGGACAATCATGTGAAGAGGTCCAGGGTGAGTTATAGTGATGGCACAGAATCCAAATGAAATAAATGGTCAGAGTGACACAGGAGGAATAAGCAATTCCCACTCAGGAGAGATGAACAGACGTGAGCCTCTATGGCCTCGAGCCTGAGGAGAGGCTGTAAGTTTGGTGCAGCAGGTGCTGCTGTGTTCTGCCGAGTGATTAATGTCCGTGCAAGAGCAACAAAATGTAGAAACAAGATCGGAGCGCATTCTGAGATGAACTCAGGACTTTGTGGACTGCTGACGGATAGTTCCTGTCTCCCCTCTACAATGTTTTCAGATGAGACAGAGGGATAGATAAGGCTGGAGAGAATGCATTTTCAAGGATATCTCAAGAAACAAAATGGAGGAGATTGTGGGAATAAAGAGGAAACTCATGGAAACAGAACTGCTAATGTGACAAGAATTAGTTATTAGCTGTCCTCCATATGTTTACACAAATACTTTAAACAATTTTCATGCAATAAGGCTTATTATTATGGTTATCGCTTTACAGGTTGTGCTGTAAGAAACCAGAGGCCAAAATCTAATATTGTTGGCAATTATTGAATTATCAGATTACTGACCACAAGTTGCACCATTGGGAGCCTATGCAGCTATATCCGCTACTGTATTTCACCAACATAGCAAAAGAATTGTGTCTATTTTAAACTTAGTTATATTATAAATGGAAGACATGTTGCTAGGTAGACTGATTTAAAACATACAATTTAAGCAACAGTATAATATTGCACACTGGTAAAATACCTTAATTGCTGGATGTGGACATCCAGAGTATTTCAAGAGAACACATGTTGGCAAGGCAACACCGTGAGGCTTCCCATCTGATAGCATTTTCAAATTAATTATGCTTTGATTAGCTTTGTTTACACATATTTTTCTGATTTACATCACTTGTGTGTGCCAACTTCCCTTCCCTTAGGCATAGCTTAGTTAAGGTGGTGCAGAATATCAGAATTGACGAACCTGCTGAAGATTGTGTGATCAAATTGCACACAAACAATTCACTTCATGGGAAGTGGAATTGTATAATTTTAAACGTTCGACTGAGAGCCCTACAGTGTTGAGGATATCTATCTTTTTTCTTTTTTTTTATAGCATTAGCTTTTGTTTAGAGAATGGCTAACTTCACTCTCTCCTTTGGTACATTCCTTTACTTACTTGATCTACTCTGTTTTGCCCTAAATTATATATATGAAAAATGGCTTCTTGCTCTTACTTCTTTGTCGACAATTCCTGCCTATGCTTGCATGTTAATGAATCACAAATATTTCTAGTACCTTTTTTTCCCCAGAGTTGTTACACTCTGCTGGCTCTGTAATGTTGATTTGGCCCTTGCCCCTCTTAGTATGGGTTAATTCCTGTTTTATTTGGCTCACAAGATAAAAGAGTCAGCTAAATTGCCAAGTTCAATCAAGTCAAAATAAAAGGCTAATGATAGATGCAATAATTTCAATGGTACACAGCAGGCCCACTTCTAGCTTACACTGACGGAGAGGCTGGGAGGTATTTTCTGTGGGGTCCCTCAGAGTGGAAGTGGACGGCTAGCTAACGTCTCATTTGCCTGTGCAATATGAGCCTGATAATATTCTGATCCAACTGGCATGGGGCAGAAAAGAAAGGAGTGGTGGGAATGACAATCAGCCATTTTATCCCTTGTAATGTGACATACTGGAAGGCAACCAATGAATTCTGTTTGTTTGTCTTCACCTTGTGTGATAGTATCCCCTCCTCCCCAGTGCTGTTAATGCCTGATCCTATTGCAATAGCCATCCATTGCTTGCCTAATTTTATATTACTGTTGACAATAATAATTAACAATTCTCTAACAAAACGGGGTAACATGTGGTTTTACATTTTTGAGATTTAAATGTCAATGTGTAGGTCCAACATATGGATGTGTGCTAATTCCAAGAGCCCTTAGACAACTTTGTAATTGAGGCTACAGTAAATACTAACTAAGAACAACTGAAACAAGAATGTCATTGACATTCCTGATGGGCAACTGTCTCCTGTTGTGATAAATGATGTGGTCACAACCCCCCCCCCCCAATTGTGTTTAATGTGAATTTTTAATTCACATGCACAATGCATTACTGTAGGCTGAAAGAGGCACTCAAAGACTATGGGGAAGGGCAGGGCATACAGCAACAACAAAATGGCAGCTATGATTTCTGGTCCCTCTGCAATCAAACCATTGTGAGCATACTACAAGTCTTACATATTACCAGGTGACTTACCCTCAGGTAGGCCAGACGGTCAGTAACAGGAATAGAAAAAGAATGTGGAGGATTGAGCCCTCTTCCACCTCCTCACTGTTCAAACCTCTGCAATGTGTCATTCCTCCAGAGAGTACAGGCCAGAAATTCATGCCATGGAAATGCTGTGGAAATCTAGAAACTAGAAAGAGCAATGCTGGTAATGTAATATATGTAAAATAGAAAGAGAGTTTGACCAAAATATGTCTTACACCTTTTGGGTGACAACTCTGGATTGTGCGCTGCTTGATTATCCAGGTGGACTTAGCCCCCCTGTTATAACTGGACCAGTGATCAGTGAAAAATTAATTTATGCGGAAACTTTGCTTAGCTGTAACTTGGAAAACTTGCAGAAAAGTCAGCAGTAAAATAAAAGGTTTACTAAGAATGGCACAGTCAGGTACACAAGTGTAGCAGCAGCAGCTGAAAGCAAGAGGAGGAAAGTGGTATTCCCACCTTGCTGCTGTAGTCTGTAAATACTGTTTTGAAGAAATTCACATGCCTGTGTACGAAGCATTTCAAAGGATTCCCACTCCTTTCGGGACTATCAAACAGTATTTCCTTTACTGTGTTTGTGTGTGTATGTGTGTCACAAAATGTGTATTTGTTCTATCCATTTTAAGTCACAAATGTAGATGGCCAATGAAAGTATGCATTCTAGGTGTGACGAATCAATTAAGCCAGTGAGTCAACAAGTGAGTAACTACAGCAAGTGAGTGTGCAAAGGAAGGAAACAAATCAGAAAGGAAGTGCTGTTGAGCATTAAGTATTTTCCACCAACTATCTTGAGTCATAGCCATGTCAAGTAAAGTGTGAAGTCATCAGCTCAAGGGAAGCTCTATTCAGTGACAAGTGTCTCTATTAGTATTCACATCCAGTGTCCTGAAGTGAATCTTCCCACCATTCAGCTATTATCCCCACACAATACTGCTCATCAAAAACTGAGCAAACACACAAAGCACAAATCCTTTCATATGCAAGCAAAAAAAGCAAACTAGTACCTAAACAAGCACACATGTCTGATCACAAACAGCATATGTTAAGCTCAAGATTGTGCAGAATAGGAAATGTAATCAGTCTCATTTATCTGTATTTCTGTACAATTCTGTGGCTAAACAAACACTTACATCACAGGAGAGATTTGGGTTTTAGAGAATATACAAACACCCATCTCAAAACAAGAGATATCTTGTTAAACAAAAAGTGATGCCAAAACAACCTCTGCTTCAGTCAATAATAATGGTTAAAAAGATTTTATTTAACCTAATCTGCTGTGTAAGGCTAAATAATCAAGTAGCAGACTTATCTGTCAAAGCAGTATAAATAATTACCTCTAGTTGTCTCGCTGTGGACAGAGTTTTGTTTAGGAGGAGTGGCGGTGGTGTGGGTCATACCTCGCATTCTCGAGAGCCTGAGATGGTATAGGTGCAGGGTCCGGTCCCATTGACAAGCACATCCATGGCCTCAGAATTGGTGGGCTTGTAGTCCACATAGTACTCCTGCAGCGGAGAGCTCAGCGTGCGTTCCGTCTCTCTAGCTTTCTTGCGGCGTTTGCGGGCTGTCGCCGAATGCTCCTGCAGCTGCTTGACACTGCTAGGATAGCGCTTCCAAGACACGTAGATTACCAACAGGATCATAGCAACAGATAGAAAAAGGGCAACACTTCCAGCAACAATCTTATGGAAGGACACGGGCTCCAAGTCTTGCTCTGGGGGAAGTGCCACAGGGGGGGTAACAGCTGACAATGTGGGGCCTCTGATAGATCCCTCTCCTCTCTTTCCAGAACCAGTAGGTGAAGCCAGAATAGCTGGGGGATGTTCAGTCTTCACAGGGACACTGGATGGTGTTGGAGGAATACTCACAGTGAGCGTTGTTGCTAGGTTTGATTGACATACACCAAAAGCTTCGACAGCATCCATCACTTTCTCACCCTGGGCTTTCTTGGGTGAGGCGCAGATCATGGTGGTCTCCTTTGCCCCTCTGAAATTTCTCAGCCAGGTCACCAGAGGGCAGATGGCAGGGCCACAGTCCCATACATTCCCAGCTAAGCTAATTGTAGTCAAAGATATCCAGGCATCAACCACCTCCTGGGAGACATTGGTCAGCTTGTTGGAGTCCAGATTGAGGGTCTGCAAGTTGGGTAAGCACTGGTAAACTACAGCATCTACTTCTGTCAGATCATTCCCAGACAGATCCAGTTTCTGGATGGAGGCCCAGGTCCAGGTCAGGCCCTGGCTCATTGAGCGAATGCGATTCCACTGCAGGTAAAGTGCCCGCAGATTGTAGAGGCGAGGAAAGTGAGAGAAATTGATCTTTGAGAACTGGTTATGCTCCAGGTGAAGCTCCGTGAGCTTGACTAGGCCTGAAAATGCATTTCGAGTGATACTGCGCAGGCGGTTGTAACCGAGATCCAGGAATTCAAGATTTCTGCAATCTTGAAACAGACGCATTGGTATGATTTTAAGTGAGTTTGAGCGTATGTGAAGGCTGAGAAGCTTCCGTAGGCCCTGGAACTGCCCAGGTTGCAAGGCTTGCAGTTTGTTGTATGACAAGTCAAGATTACGCAAATTAGGGACGGGGTGGAATGTGGTGTTATGGAGTGATGTGATCTTGTTGGAACTCAGGATCAGCTCTTTGAGCCTGCGGACCCCCTGAAAGGCCATTCCATCTACAGAGGCAATGTAATTGTGGTCCAAGTAGAGCCAGATGAGGTGGTTGAGGCCTACAAACTGTCCAGCACGAAGACTGGCAAGACTGTTATACCGTAAGGACAGGCCTTCACAGCCTCCTGAGAGGTTCTTGGGGACATCGCGAAAGGCGCTTGACTCACAGTAGACAATTTTTCCATCACAGCGACAGCTCTTGGGGCATGGGCGCTCACTCAAAGATGGATTTGCCGCCAGCCACACCTGCATCAGGAGTTGGACCACTAGCCAGCGACGCCGCAGAGCAGAGCCTATAGGTAGGGGGAAGAGGAAGAGAGGGGAAAAATGGAGAAAAACTTAAGCAGCTGAGCTTATTGTAATCTTTAAAATCCTAATTAATAATCATTTGGTATACAAATCCATGCTGCACATTGGGTGGCTTATTTTTTGTGGGGTTCAGTATTGGAAAAGATGGTGTGCACCAACCTACAGTGTGAGCCTTATTTTATTTTTAATAAATAATTTTTACTATTTTATTTTTTATAAAATTATTTTTAATAATAAATAAAATGAGAGGATATATTTATACACACCAAGACCTGACTTATTGCTCTGCAAGAAGCTTACAGCTCCTGAAGAGGTATCCTGAGGCAAGCATCAAGTATCTGAGCTTCTACATTTGTATGGTTTTCTTTTGATTATCAAGTAACATATCTGCTGCAAAAGTGAACTCTTTTATGTTTTTAACTCATATTCAGTGTAATGATTAATGTCTGTACGTCTAAATGGCAAAGCTACCAATCTGAACTCAGAAAGTCAAAACTGCTGCTCTATCCTAAAGGAAGGAAGACTTTTCCAAGTTCTGGGATATCAGAACTTAAAAATGAGGGCTACTCTTCAGAGCTTATCTTCAGGATTTTTTTTACTTCCGAAATTGTTGGGCTTTCCTTCAGATATCTCTCCTACCATTGCAATAGTTTAGTTGTTGCTCCTCTTACATTCATTCTGATTCAGACTCAGATTATGCCCTTCCAGTTCAGGTTCTTTTTTCCATATCTTGGAAACCCTACTTCCACTCAACTGTCAGAGCAATGTAATTCATCATTTTCATTTTCGGTCTCCAAGGTTGTCACATACATTGTTAACACTTTCCCCCCACAATGACCTATGTTCACCATCCCTTCAACAACCACATAATATGTCCAGTCATAACACATCATACAATTGAAGAGAATGTCTTGAACTGTAATTCATCAAACCTTGTGTCTTCCAACCTATAGTGTCTGCAGCTATACATATTTCTTCTCCATAGTGCAACGTCTATGTAGGCTGTAGCAGGATGAATTGCCTAATAGAGATGCATGCTTCCTTAGCTTCAATTCATGTAAAGGAAACAGTTTTTGCTTTTGGATTCAAGTCTGTCTTGGAAACCGCTTGTGAATGTAGGTGACTCACAACCACCTAGCCTCCCAAAACATGTGAACTACGTTATCTTATTATTAAGAGGTAAAAGGAACATAGATTCTGAAAATGCGTTGTTTATTTCCAGTTAAAAGAATCTGAATCCAGGAGACAAATAACAGCCTGGTAGGTTTTATGTAAAGAAATCCTGTATGAATATAATCTCTTATATAGCATAATTTTAGATTAGTTTTATGGTCAGATATCTAGCGGGTAGTCCGAAAGGACAGCAGCTGGTCGGACACATAGTCAGTATAGAACGCTGTAATATACTAAGTTCACATTGTGTGGACTCACTACCCCAAAAACATGGTCTTCACTGTTTGAATTGATTTCATTTGTGCTGCATGTTTACTATGAATACACATTGACAACCAATAGTGAAGCAAAGCAATTTTCAATTTACTCATATCTTTATCTGTATTTGGATTCAGTCATCCCATAAGTTATCACTGCACCAATGGCAGAAGCAGATAAGTCATGAAAGGCAGCCTTTACAGAGCAAATTAACATTCAAGAGCTGATGGATGTGTATAGGATCCCAGAGGTGTTTCAATTTAGACTCCAGCCATTTCATATATACCAAACTAAAGCTGTAAAGGTTCAGTATGAATCACCGCCCTCTGCTTTCCACAGGTTCAAATAAAAAAAATCACTATAAACCCTATAGAATTACACAACTCATCTCTGCTACAGAAAACAATTACCTGAATGCCAAATGTGTCGAAGGAGAATACTTTTGGGGGGTGGGGGGGTGGAGTGGGGCTCAAATACTGAAAAGTGAAGAAAAGTGGTCAGTAGCTTCCTGTGATATCACTGCTTGTTCTGAGGTGAGACAGAGTTGTTTCCATTAAAACCGTTCCCCTTTACAGAGCCACTAATGATCTGTCATTAAGATCCATTGATTTCCCCTTGAGGAGGTGGGATGTCGGGGGGGGGGGGATCTCTACTTACGTGTGTTTCTCAAGGCCAGATCATCAAGTATGGACTTGATTACCATTATCACAGTGAGATAAGATTAATTTGTCAGGATACAAGTAGTCCATACTTTAATTAGCTTACAAAATGTATGATGTGTTGTCAGGTGCCACACTGAATTCTCTAACTTATTCAAATGAATGATGAACTTGAGCTAAAGTATGGAATCTCTGGGCTTTAAGTATACTTGATGAGGCAGTAAGCATGATTTCAATTTTCTAGTATTTTCTGTATTCTTTGCAGGATTTGTCAGAAACAATTCCCTGACATAGAGTGGCTGAGAGGCATCTTACAGCATATGCTATCTAACATAGCCATTTCGCTCCTTGCCAAGCATCTGCTGATCCCATATGGGTATTGTATGTGAATGTTTGTGTGTGTCTAAGAGTGTGACTGAGAGAGAGACACACTTGCTGTTTGTTTTCAGTGGAATCTTTCATCATTCCTTACAGATGGAGGGAACCATGGAACTGTACAGATACTTTGTGTTGGCTATTGATTATACCAGCAGACACATCAATCACACATCTTCATCTTGGATCCCACAATTGTGGTGCTTTCACATAAAATATGGCAGAGAGAATGATGGTGATCACAAGATGCAGCATTTCTTTTTTTGTTTTCCAATTGGTTTTTCTCAGGTTTCTTCAACTAATTTGACAACCACACTGTGCCCCAAAGGCTTACAATAAAAAGAGACAGCAGAGGAATACTGATATAGATCAATGCACGTGTGTAATGTTCCGTGTACATTTAAATAAACTTTAATAGGCAACACTTTGACTGTGGAACCAAATATGCGGACTATAAAACATGAATGTGTGTGGGGGGTTTATAAAAATTTTGTGTTTGACTCGTATCCCAGGAGGATGTAGGAACAGCTCCCTATTGCTTTTATTTCCCACGTGCATAAAAGGCTTGCTTTATTAGAAGTGACTCTGCCATCTCTTTCAGATTGAGCCTGCGTCAAAAGGCACCTCTCTCCCCTTACTGACACTGTATGTGGTTTAATGAGTGTTCTGTGTGCTAATGCCTTTGTAAGCCATCTCCTTCCCCACTACTTCTCTAATCTTATTCACAAAGGAGCACCTCTTAGGTGTCACTCGTGGGGTGTGTGTCTATTACCTTTCACCTGATGTACCTATCACCGTTACTGTTCTTCTACTGTATCTACTTAGATGAACAATTTTCTCCTTTGTTTAATTCTCCATCCTATTGAAATAATGCTAGTTATGCATGTCCTTGAACCTTGCAGCCATCAGGATGTTTTCATAATGTGGTCTATTTTAATGCATGTGGTCAAAACCATCTCCTCAGCCCTTTCTTCCTTTGTTGAATTACATTTTTGGTCCCCCATTGTCTTTCTCCCTTGCCTTCAGATCCAACTTTTAGGATGAATGTTTGTCTTGCTTTCTTTTTAGTGTTCAGTATGATAATATATAGATATATGCTTCTCATTTGTCTTTGTCACCCTCTGCAGTTATTTGTCTAAATCTTATATGGATGGACTAAAGTTTGTCTGAAGGCGTGCGCGTAATGCTTAGTTATATAGCAGACAGCCCTGCTGTCCTCAGCATGAGAAGATGGCTATTTCTGCCTCTCAACCCTAACACATAGAGGGAGTAAGTGCACTTTACTGCTGACCTAAAATAAAACCAAATGTAGCTTAATAACTTGGCAAATGGACTCGCTAACTGGTGCACTTTGAGTGCACACAAGTGGCTCATTGCTATTTGTTGCCTGTCATTGACAAAACTGCTACCCAGCCTCAGCCTTGCCTGCTCATAGAGGCTGGACAGCAGCCGAAAACATAGGGAAGGACGTCCCCAGATCAGCCTTAGCTATCCTATTAGTCTCCACTTATCTTTGAGATGATAGCAAGGCCTGCCAAGTTAGACCTATTTCAACAGTGGTTGGAAAACATTGTATCCTGATGTGCATATCGTGTATTTGTAGCACTCTGATTAGTTAGAATATAGAAAAGCACTGTATATATATATATATATATATATATATATATATATATATATATACACACATACACACACACACAATGTCTGTATGCCTGATTCCTGATTTCCCATGGCGGCAATGCAGGTGGACCAATTACCAACCAATCAGCTGTAGTGAAGTAAGTCTCCAAACTTTGTTCTGAGTCCACTACAGTACTTTTCATTACGGTTTACTATGGTTACTGCAAAATGTGTTAAACTGAAATGATTGTAGATACAATCCTAATTATAGAACAATGGTTAAATGGCAGGTAAATTAACAATGACCAGGACATAGCTGTCTTCCTGTTTATTAGCATTTCAAAGTGAAACTTTGCTAACGGAAATGCTGTCCCATAGGGTTCACTGCAAACTGGGTTGTAACCTCATATGTGACTGTTAAGGTTGTGCTTTGTTTCTTCTGCCATGTTACCCTATAATAGCTTAGATACCAAGCATAAGACCAGCCACCTGGTCAAGTTAAACTGATGAATCTACAGTGATGTCATTGTGTTAGTCTGTGGGCAACAAAGCTCAGACGAAAGGGTGCAGAAACACTAAAAAACACCAATAGTTTTGAAAGTAGATAAAACCATATTGTGTGTGTGTGTGTGTGTTGGCAGAGTGCTCTTGTATGTTTGTTCTTTGTGACGACCACTTGTGCTTTAAATCTTGAGTGTGAGATGTTTTTTTTCTACTTCAAAGAGCAGTTTGAGGATTAAGATTTGGTTTGAAGGTTGAGGTTAGAATTAGGTATAGGCCAGGGTTCAGGTTAGTTTTAGAGGATACGAAGTGCACTATAGTTTAGTGAGTACGCTCACCTGTGGTCTGTAAGATTTTACTTATTCCATCATATATTTTGACTTGTGGATCAATTTGAAAATAAATATGTAGGAGAGAGAGGGGTGATTTGAACCTGTGGGGAAGTTGAGCCACCCCTTGTTTCTTGGCAGCCATAGACAAAATTGGTCATGTGACCAAACATTTTTGAAGAGTCATCCATTTTACTGTGGTGGAGAGAGGCCCATGGAAGTTAAGCACATTTAAGATCAAAAAACTGTTTTTTGCCATAAATGATTTTTTTTATGCTCAAGGATTTCTGATTCATGTGTCTGAACAATTACAGACAGGTTTAATAAAATCTTACACATGTGTTAGTGCTCTAGGTAGTTTTAATATGAGGCTATACTGTTAGCATGACATTACCCTTAAACAGCTGGATGACACAAGTTTGTTAAAATGGCAGGGATGGGGTAATATGAGCCAAAAGACCTGGGGGAAGTTGAGCCAGCTATTTTACTGTAATTTTACGATACATTCTTCCATTACCGAAATGATGTGACATTGTGCATTTTAGACCAGAAACCATCATGTCATGCGTCTATAAATGGAAGACAGACAGGCTTCAACTCCTATTGTGGGTTTGGACAGAGTAGTGGGAGAGGTACAAAAATGGGAAGTCCATTCATCAGGTGGCACGGGACATGACGATAAACAGGGTGACTTTAAAGCGATACACTGATATGACACAACTGGCATTTGAATTTGCATGATGAAATTACATTGACGTCCCTGACCCCCATGTGGCTCAACTTATCCTTTTCCTTGGCTCAACTTACCCCACATATGGGGCAAGTTGAGCCAAGAGTCCACTTTTTGTTAGAAAGACATATTTTTGGTTTATTTTAGATCCACATTGATTATTCCCAGGGATGCACCACATCCTAAAATATATATATATAAAATGTATATATTTTAGTTAGAGACATTAGTGTCATGTCCTCACTTTAAAGACACCTCAAGAAAAAAACTGGCTCAACTCACCCCGCTCTCTTCTATGGCTTTCTTTGACTTTGGCCATTTTGCTGAACATTGGAACATTTTAGTACACACATCAAGTGCTACTGGTAAAACTTTCCAGGGTGCACTCAGCATGTTGCTCATTGCATCTATCCCTATAAACCTGAATTGGATAAGCAGGTATACTGTAGATAATGGATGCTGGATCCCAAGTGCTTCAGAAGCCATTGATTTTTTCTTCAAAATAAACAAATGTAAATAACAAATGCCCAGACATTGCCCTCAAAGGGCCTGTTGATCCCAGGCCTTCACCTGACATTTCAACAAGGCTGCTTGTTGGATGCTGTTCGGCCAGCAGAAGGTCATCTGTTGCCTATACTGAGTTACTTTAAAACGCGCGCAGATGAGCCAATATGGCTGGTGTCACACTGATTTAAATTTTAACAAAGTAACACTGTTTTATTTCTTTTTATGCAGACAGGTGTCCATATTTATTTCACAGCAAAAATATATGTTGTAGATGTAAGAAAGGTTTGTGCAATGTCATTTGGGTCTCTGAATTTATCTTACAGCTCTGCAACTGCATCTCTGGCTGTGGCTTTTTACTATACCTACCCTACTGTTCACTTCCTGCAACACAGATCTCTAATGATATGGGCCATGAAACATAAGTGCATTGCATGCTGTTAATGAAGAGCATCACAGTCAGCTACTCTGGTTGATAACTGAGACTACCGCACCATGTAATCATCAAATAATTGTGAGCAGCAGCATGAAAGTACATGGTTGAAAAAGTTGCGATTTTGGGCTGATTCGTGCACCTGGACATAAATGTGTTTGTGTGTGCATTCACCTGTGTGAGTGTCAAAAATCCCTGCATCTTAAGTACGCGGGGTTTTCTGACATGCTCTGATATTAAATTATGAAACAAGCCCATAACCAGACTTCTATGATTAAGTATATATGGTTGCTTTGCAGTACACATAAATTGCATCTGAGCTCCTACAGCCTGTACTGTATGGCTTTGTGTGCTGTTGTAGCTTATATTGATGTGGTGCAGTAACCCAGTGTGGGTCAATATATCATGCAGCCTCACAATTAATGGCACAGCACCACCAGTGAACTTGGCCATCTGTATACCAGTTAAGAATGGCAGAGGAGATTAGGCTATCAAACAATAATATCAGGCCAAGAGAATGCAAAAGATGGAGAACAAGCCCAAATGATTTGACATTTTGGGAAAGGGGACAAAATATACAAATTAGCCAACAGTTAAATACCAAGAGAGGGACAGCATGAATGGGGGGCCAAGAAAGTGGTGCGGTGTGTTATGAGTGACTCTGCGCACGCGTAAGGGAAACTGCAAACGGCAAAATGGTAAATTCTCATTATATATAACTGATAATCAGACGGGGGAAACGTGCACGCGCGCAGACACAGACACATTGTCATAAATGAGACAGACACACACGGAGTATTAATAGATGGACGCGCAGTTTTATGTTTAATTTGGAGAGTCCCGCTTGATTGCAGGTGCAGAATACAAAGGCTTTCTTGAATGAGAATCAGTCCGCTAAGCAAAACCTGCACGACCGGTGCCTTCAACCCATAAGAGTTTAGGGGGGGGGGGGGGGGGGGGGTAAGCCCTGGGCTGAAACTGGACAATAGGCTCCGTGCGTTCAGATTAAGGACAATCAATGATTATGCAGGACCACGCTTTATAAAGTTGACTGGCTTCCAACATTTACCGTGATTAGCATTTCAGTCAACGTCAATGAGCCAGCCACTCTAAATAGTCAAGAAAAAAAAATGGATAGTCCTTACTGAGACAGACTGGCTGATTTTCTTTGCTCGTGATTTGGAACCAAATCTTTAAGCACACATAAAATAAGTATCCTTAGTATCCAATAAGCCATACCGCCAAGAAATGGAGGAAAACACATTGCAGCTCTGCGACTAACAGGCTACAGCACAGGCTTCAGCCACATTCCTCAAGCTTCCCGAACCACTTAACAGAAAAAAACAAAACCCTTATTAGAGGTTACAACAGTGCATATTAAAAGACGACCTTTTTTTGATGCAAACATCTGATTCATACCAGGTTCTGCTGGGAAGAGGCAACGCATTTTGTGGTGTATTATGAGAACGACTGGAGTATATTTTGAAACAGTCCACGCTATCAAAAAGATGGTAACATAAACAGAACTTACCCATATCCGCTTATGTGTCAGCTCCAGCCTACAGGTTTTATTGGCTTCTAGTGCGCGACATTCGAGTCCGCATGACGCGCTCTCCACAGACAGGTACCGTCCTAATCCACTAGCCCGGTCTCTCCGCGCAGCCGCCGATACCAAAGCGCACCTGCCCTTTACTCTCCCGGACCTGGACGTGCTATCCGGTTTAGTTCTGCATCTATAACGGTACAACTGAACCGAGGCGAATGTCATTTACATACAACTCCCGATTAAAAGGGTAAAAGAAATCCGGTTTTAGAACTCCCTATCCATGTCTTCGCAGGAAAAGAATCGTTCTATGTTTTCAAGTTGCAGCCAAAAAGATTACTGCAGTAGGCGCAGACAAGCCACATCCAAGTAATTCATGCCAGTCTCACATGCGCATGGAGATTCCGAGAAAATACTGTCACAAAACTTCACAAATACGTTGGCATGGTGCAAAAAAAAAATGCACTTTTCCAAAGGAGTCAGGCAGCCCTTATTAGATTCCTCTCCCGAGTAAACCCCGGCGTCTCTTCACAAGGATGCTCAGTCTGTTCCGCGCATGGCGCACAGAGGAAAGTAACGGTCGGTTATCCACAAGTCCCTGTGAAACGCTGTCAACGAGTCTCCCGGAATAGTCAGATATCCAAATATCCACTTTTGTGTCCAAATGTTCCCCTCATCCTCGTTGATGCTCGGTTTGAAATACAGCATGACGCTGTTGTTAATCACGTCTGCATGTCAAGGCAACTTTGTCAGGCAGAATCGGAATGCCCTCTTCTGGTGAGACAGCGACCCATGAGCTTGTCCGGGAGTGCATCATGAGTTATGGTGGCACGATTTTAAGGAAGGCTGCCACATACCAAAGCGAAATGAATCCTCTCATAGTGGTACCCAAACCACACTTACATGCGAGCCCTTCCTTCATTTTAATCGCTTCATTATTTGCCTGAGCCGAAGGTTGTTTTTTTTAACGAACTGTTCACTGTATCACAATGCAGTATTAAGCAATGTTTGTAGATAATGAGGAATTGATTAGTTATCGTTTCCTGTTTATGAAACTCTTTTTTTTTTATGTGTGTGTGTATGTGTGCTCGTTTATATTTGTGAGGACCTTTTGAGTGGACCTTCAGAGTGAGGACAAATTTGGTTATGTGATGCCATTCTGGATGATCTTTAGGGTTGTTTGGAGGTTAAGGCTCCGTTTTAGGCTTAATGTTACAATTAGGTTTAGCGGAGGTTAGGGTAAAAATATTCTGGTTTGGCTTACATCTATCATAGTTCAGTTTGCGGTTAGATACTAGAAAATGCATTATGTTGTGAGGATCCTCTTAAGTAGCCTGTACACGTATAGGCTACACAAACCTACGTGTGTGAGCGAGGAATATTGTAAAAGCATCTTTAACAACACACTGTGAACCAATCCAGACGGCTGCGGGGCGCTGTCCATGGTGCTGAAATGGTACATTTCAGTGACTGAATACAAGCGCACTGCTTCCTGGAACTGGACAGGGAGGACTGATTCTTAGTTTCTGTGTAAATAAACGACTGATCCAGAAGTTATAAATGTTATTTAACATTCCGCACTAACCCGTATTGGAAATGCAATGGTACTTAATCGACAGCGGCCCTCCCTCTGCGTCACCCTAGCTGCCTTTTAATGCTTGGGTGTATTTAAGGAGGAAATAGGCAGCAGAATTTTTAATGTGCATTGCATCTGCACTATGTTACTGATTTATGTTGCCCATTTATTCAAACATATATATAATCTATAAATAGCGTTTAAGTACAAGAAATTATTTAGTATTCAGAATCAGAATCCGAATCAGAAATACTTTATTGATCCCTGAGGGGAAATTCTGTGTCACACACAAAGTATAAAAGAGTGAGGATATGTACAATATTTACATTATCAAACAATTGTAATGGTGAACAGTAATAGTGAATAAATAGTAGCAGAATTGCAGCAGAGAATATTGCATGTTAATTATTAAACAGATAATATTCCACAAAATGGTCCAGATTAATAACTAACTAAGGGCCCATGTGTCAGACACATAGAGGGAGGAGTTAAAGAGTTTGATGGCCATAGGCAGGAATGATTTCCTGTGGCACTTCCTGTGAGTCTTGCACTGAAAGTGCTCCTGTGTTTGAGCAGCATGTCATGGAGTGGGTGAGAGACATTGTCCAAGATGACGTGCTTGGACAGCAGCCTCCTCTGTGACACCACCGACAGAGAGTCCAGCTCCACCCCCACAACATTACTGGCCTTGCGGATCAGTTTGTTGAGTCTGTTAGCGTCCACTACCCTCAGCCTGCTGAGGAGCCAATGTAAGATTTGTTTTTAAAATACCTTTAAGGCAGATGTCATGGAGCTTGCATTGTGTGATAGAAAAAATTCTTAACTTAATGGCTCACAAACAACATAAAAAAACATAAACCCATGAAAGAGTCATATACAATTTCATGAAATCACAAAAATGCATGCCATAGCTATGCTGATATTGTATTTATCAGGGGACAATGCTGCAGTTATTTTTTTCCTGCATGTTTCCTGACAAACATAAAGGCATATTTCTCTTTTTTCTTTGTTTACGTCCATTGCTACATTTTATTTCAGAACGGAAGTTTTTTCCTTATAGTGTTGCTGTACTTAATGATAAAGTCTCTGTGGCAGTTTGATCTGCCTGTGGGGTCTTTCATACTTGGGTGTGAGAGGCTTGGGTATGATTCCCTCAGAGTGAATCTCTGTGCTGGAGTCTGTATTGTGTTTCTTTTGTTGCTCTTCATTCTCTTTCTGTGTCATTTGTGTATTGTTGCTTGATGGTGGAGCAGGGTCCTCAGCATAATACTTCACTGCTGAATGTTGTAGCTCCGCTTTCTGATATGAGAACCACTGTACAGTTAATATTAAACAATGCAAAATAAATGCACCAGGAGTCACAATGACGACGGGAGACTGGGGATGGTTGTAAAACGGGTCAGTCATAGCCTACTAACCAACAAGTTATGAATCACCTTATTCACTCTGCACATGCTCAGTTTAGTCCTTATCCACATGTGAAAAAGTAGCATGTGGCAGGCACAGCCAACTTTAAAATTAAGTTTTTTTCATAACTTATTTTTGTTATAACATTGTCTGCTGTGTAGTTAAACCAATCAAACTTAAATCAAGTATAAATGTATCTTTCGTGAAAGTTGTTGGTGCTAATGTTTTAGCTGTAAGCTAAGCTAGTTCATGGCTACTATAGTCTGGGTTGGTTGTAACACCAATGAAAATGTTACAACAACCTATCCCAAGAACAACACACAGTAATGTTTAAGTGTTTTATTAGTGTGTTCAAATGTTAGTCTAAGACCTGTTGGCTTCTCTCTGGGCCCATGAGGCCTGCACTCCAGGAGGGCCATATGTGTCACCACTGTGATGATCCAAGACAAACAAGCACACACACTGATATTAATATTAGTTTATTATTATTATTACACACACCAACTGAGTTAAAAAATAATTTTCATCATAGTAATTTAAATTTCACCTCAATAAAGGATCTGACTACTGCTTTCACCACTAATCTTTGGATACATTCAATTAAATGTGAAATCCTGGATAGGGTGATGCATGTCTTTCACTGTGGAGGGTCTTGTGTGGACGGACCACTTAAATACAAACATCTCCCAGAAGCTTTTTAAGCTATTACCGTGGTTTATTCCCTGCCGCACCTCTTGCACTTATTCTCAGCTAATCATTGGTAATCATCTCTTGATCTGATGATATGCTGTATTGCATTGTATTGTATGTATATCGCATCGATGAATACTAATCAGAATTGTAGATCAGTGTTGGTAAGAATGTCTATCACATAAATGTATTTACAGTAGTACATTAGCTATCATACCAGCCCACTGGGTAATAAGTGTTCCACCTGTTCATCTTCTCAGTGTTGGTTACCTTTTTTCGGCTCACCTCTCAAAATGGAGCCAATCATTCTCCAACATCATCTTAAAATTCAGCATCTTACACTGTAGCTCAGCCTTAGTATCTGCTCCCATGCAATTTGGCTGATGACTTTACTTCTGGATTTGGTTCAACAAGCAGAGGCCATTCTGCTGACGGCGCTGAAACAATTAATACCCTGTGAAGTTATGGAGATACAGACAGTGCCAGCCCACAGGCTACAGCAGTTATTTCTCTCCTCAAGAGATATAACTGTATAGTTTACCCTCACCTTTTTACTCCACCAATGAATTCCCTCTGCTTGTTGGTTTAAGTGTCTGTCAGGTAGGTATAGTATTCAACATTTGTCAGGAGTGGATGTGGAAGCCTTGAAAAGAGAAATCGACTCTCCCGTAAAATTGTTTCTTTGTTTTGACAATATACAGCCGACTGTAGCTGGTCACGGTCATGAGTAATTGTGTCCTCCCGGAACAAAATATATTTTTAAAGGTAATATTTACCAAAACACTCTTCCCTGGTTGAAACTGTGTTTGTTGCCCAGCAACGTTCACATGTTGAACAATCTTTCCGGTTGCAAATATTGAGACCTTCTGTGATTTCAGTAGCACTTCTTGTCAAGCTCTCTCAGAACCTATTGATAGATTCAAATGGTTTGGTTGGAAATGCTTTCCAAATGTGGTATTTGTTGTATTGGGTTTTTTTTTTTATTAGCATTATACCCTAACCGTAACCCCTAACCCTACACTTACAGTATAATATGAAGACTTTAAATGTAACAAAAAGCAAAATAGATTTTTTTTGGAAATGTCAATAACATGCAGTATTCACACATTAGTGTGTGTGCGTGTGTGTGTGTGTGTGTGTATATATATATATATATTCTTGTGGGAATTAACACAGGAAATAGCTTGCATTATAAATTTAATAAATGCCTGAATGCATGACTCAGTGACTGAAAATAGAGGTAATCTTTATTGCCTGAAAGCAATTCATAAGCTTATAAGTAAAGCTGCTTGGGAGCCAAATAGAAACACGTCAATGGGCCCGTCTATCTTGCACAGCCTACTGTCACTGACAAAGCACCATTTTGATATATAAAAATGGCAAGTTAAATGTTTGAGCTTTTTTAATTATCTGGATTTGGGGGAAAATAATAGAGATACTACTTTGCCAAAAGTTTACCAGAGATACAAGATAGACCCAAAGATAGTGGAACAGGCGGTGGATGATTCGATGACCGACAAGCATGGGCAAATGTATGGCTTTCATTGGTGCATGTGTTTTGTCTAAGTGATCCTGACAACAGAAGATATTTTCAGGCTATCTCCAGGGTGAGAGACAGCTCCATTCTGTCCTTCCCGTGTTCACATTAGACTGGGACTTGTTCTCTCTAGTGTTCTTTTCTTTTTCCATTTCCTCTGATCTTAAGCCTGGCAGAATCATCTTAACCTGCCTCAAGGCAATTTTCAACCTGACACTGAGTTTCTCGAGTTCACCTGTGAATGTGAATCATCGAGCAAATATCCAGGGACAGCTTATACAGCCAACACTGTGTCGTGTGAAAATAAAACATTTTTGTGTTCCCCGTAGCTTTTTTTTTCCTCAGAAAAGTTGTTGTTTTTGGTACAAAGAATGTTATGATGCCAAGGTTGCCATAGCAGATGTGATAGTTGTAAATCTCTGTTTTGCAGGTCGCTTCCATTAACCTTTACCCCAAGCTGGTTTCCAATCTGGAGGGCTGTGTTCCACACTGCAGCTCAGGTTGGGGCTGAGGAGTTTGGGCTTGAATGTACATTATACGAGACATAAAGTGCTGGAAACATGTTAAACAAACAGGATAA